ATGGAATCTATTTTTCACAGAGCACTTTGTGTGCATAAAACACAGGAGATACTATAAATGATGAATATTACTGTACATAGGATAATAGATTATTATTATTAAATAATAAAGATCCTAATAGGCTACTGTCACCTCCCCAATAACTATAGTAGAGTGGTTAGTAAATTTTGTATTTTTAAAAATTTTAAATTACGTATATTTTTTGTTGTTGTTGTTGGAGGACTGCAAAGAGCCCCAGGGTAGTCCAGTGCTCTGATATTTTGTGGCTATGATTCTCTAATGGGCTCAAGTACCTATGTTTCACTGATTTAAAAACCTGTGTAAGAGGTTTCCGGAAGGCAGGACCTCGTAGATGATAGACTCCAGAACCCCCGTACAGATACCTCATCACAGCAGGTGTCGTTCAGTTAGCTCAGCACGGCCAGCCTGTGTCTGCTGTGTCTTCCCCACAGGACCCCGCTGCACTGCGCCGCCTCCTGTAACAACGTCCAGGTGTGCAAGTTTCTGGTGGAGTCCGGGGCCGCTGTGTTTGCCATGACCTACAGCGACATGCAGACGGCTGCCGACAAGTGCGAGGAGATGGAGGAAGGCTATACCCAGTGCTCTCAGTTTCTGTATGGTAGGTAACAGTTCCATTTACATGGATTGATCGCTGCGTTAACTTATCCGATATCTCTGCGGAATATTCAGTAAGCGTTTTATTATTTGGAAAACTGCTTTTGTGTTGTGCATAATCCTGGGCATTGAAATAGAACAGCCTGAGCCTTGATCCCAGACGTTAATGCACTTTTGTGTGTGTGCCCAGAAACATCGTCAGGAACATCTTCAGGTACAAAAGACCCTGATGCTAATGGCATTCCCATCTGATCTGATGGCATTCATGGCGTTTGACCATCAAAAGACCCTTCACTAAGACTTTGTTTAGTCCTTAGTGAGTGATGGTGTGTCTTTGCAAGATGATCAAGAGACACAGTGTCGGTATAAGAACCCAACTGACCCATGTTTTCCTGCTAAATCAAATGACATGAAGTCAAATAAAGACATGTTTCAGAGCTAATTTTTTGGCTTTTTTGTTTTCTTAATTTTGAATTTATAATTGTAAGTGATAACATTAGCTCTATACCTAGAGAAAAATGGACTGGAAGTTTGAGGTGGCTAGAGGTTGGTTGACATTTTTATTTACAAATTTTTTTATTTACAAGTTGATTTGAGGCCAATTTTCTTTTTAGTTTGGCTTGAGAGGAATTGAGAAGGGAAAAAGAGCGAGAAATGAGGGAGTCCACAGACTCCATACCATTTAATCGTTCAGAAATGCCTTTGCCAGTTGATTAAATAACCCCTGAGGTTAAAAGACATGGGCCTCTGTCTTCTCGGTCGTTAACTGTTTCCAGGCTCCAGGCGAGAAGGGACAGGGTCAGAGGGAGACCCACAAACCCCAAGTTCTCTTCATCTCTCAGTTTTTATTTTGCTATTTTTGATTATTTTTGTTTATGTTCTGAACTTTGATCAAAGAGTGATTTTGATATATTAAGATATTTAAAAATCAGTGTGTTAATATATATTTGTTAAATGTATTGGCCATCTTGAGCTCTATTTAAAGTATGGAATATGATTTTTAAAAACATTTAGGGATATCTGATCAGAGATTTTTT